GGGGTGGGACACGATTTTTGAACTTTTCGAGGACCAGAAATTTCATCGAAGTTTTCACAGAAACTAAAAGAGATTAGGCAAAACTAAGACTGCAGATTGACAGAGCAGATAAAATACTGCACAAAAAACAAAAAAGATTTTGTTCCGCTGCCCCTTAAGAGAAGAAAAATGTTAATTAAAAAAAAAGAACGTACGGGAACCACTAAGAAAAGAAAGGAAAAAGAGCCCAAAAACAAAGTGTTTTGCTTACTGTACACTAAGGAAATAAGACAGAAAAGAGATCTTATATTTTCTTATATTTACATTAGCTTAAGTCGAACGGTACAAAAATCACCAGAATCACTCATATATACATATAAATCATTGGATAACTCAAACACATTTTTTACATAGGTGGAAGGTCAGTTTATCCATATACCCTGCGCAATCGAATAAGATGTCTTATGGTTAGATTTCCGACTTTTTACAGTCATACCTATGTGAACAGTAACGTAAACCCCAACAGAAAAACTTTCTTATACATGCGCCAAGTGATGCATCACGCAATCGAGCTTAACGAGCGGAGGACAAAGCTCAGATTACTGTCCGTTTCAAAATAGAGTGTGTGCGATTGCACACTCTCGATCTTTCGTAGCCCAATCAATTCATGTTACAAATTTATCCGGTTCTTCGCTTTTGGTATGTTTGCAGGCCACGATGACTCATTAGATCATTAGCAGACTTTCAGCGTTGGAGGACACAAATTCATTGAATGAAAGTTTTGCATTTGAAGAAGGGCCAAATGAGATTTTATATTGTTTTCTTTTTTTATGATATGTTGCAGTTACTGAGATATTCACTATTCTACACCACAGAAGGTAGGCTTCTTTTTATAGAGTTGATAATTGTTCATCGAATCAGTCTCAAAAGAACGAAGCCTTAAAACTTGATATCAGTTTTTCAAAAAAAGAGAAGAAAAATGGCTCACTCGTTATAGGCCGTCTGTTACAATCTTATAGCAGAATGCATGACCTCCTCTGAGCATGCTAAAACTTTTTCCTATGGTAAGAATTCGAATAGTACATATCATAATAAGCAAGATGTATCTTAAACATTAAATTCCCCAATTACCACATCTCAGGAAGCGGAGATAAACGAGACGCAGAGTTACGACTACTCTTCTAAGGAGTTTATCGTAAGCAGTATATCGAAATCGATCTTTTTGCACATATATGACACACCGCTGAACAGATCTCGACAGCTTCAAAAAGAGTTTCATGAACTTCGTGAGGAGTCGAACGATATATGATAGTAGCAGTTTCATTCGAAAAAAGCTCGAAAATTTGTAAGAAAAACTGGCCATACATTTCGAGATATAATGTAAAAATTTTTGACAAAGCCTGGAACTTTAATGAAACTGCTATGTCAGTTTTGTGAGTTGCATCTTTCTATGAAACTTTCATAGCAGTACATTCAGTTGTTTGAGCACTGAAAAGTGAATTAACTTCGAAAAACTGGCCTTACACTTAGCGTGTATACGTGAGTTTATCAAATTTTTGTTCAATTTCAAGTTTCGCAAAACAAGCGATTATTAGCAGGCTTTGTAGTATTTTTTAAGCTCTATCTTGTGGTCGACTTGATTTTTCGAAAAACGCTTTTACGTGCTCTCTGCGGACGTTCTAAACTGGCTTTACACTTTGAGTGTAAAAGGACTTTGAACCTGAAGGGACACTCAGAAGTAAACAAACTCAAAAGTGAATGGCGAAATCAGATAGAGAATTGAAAGCTCTACAAACTGTACTATTTACTTTTTTGATATCGTTCTTTCTTTCCTTTAGAAAATCTATTTTTCGGTCGATGACTCATCGGAAAAAAGGGTATTTTAAATGTCATTGTACACAGAAGTTGCAATTGACTCATATACTTGAAAAGAGAAAAAAAGTACTGCTAGTATTCTGTGAACATTTTGTTTTTTGATTAGTCAAAATTGATTTGAAGCTGCATACTACAGATATGTAGAATTGTCTCATTCATTACAGTAAATGATTCGTACCTAAAAGGCCTTTCATTTAATGAAACGAGCGACACAACTGGCATATAAATAATCGCTAATATTTTTGTTTATTTTGCTTGAATCTTTGTGAGCTGTCTCGTTATGATGACTTTTAAATGCCAATTTATGATCATTTTTTTGCCATTTTGTAATTGAGAAAAAACTGCCTCAAAATGAACATGTAACATGCACATTTATTTTGGATTAGTTAACGCGGTTTAATAAATGGACGAAAATGCCATTTTTTCGAGCATTATTCGACTATAGTATGGCATTATTTTCACCGTTATTTCAAAGTCACAAAAAGTCATTATAATGGCTGTTAAATGCCGATTTTCATTCCATTTTTACACAATTAACAGGCCATTTTTTGGCATACAGTTAACAGGCTGCTAATGGGCAATTAAATGACAGTTTTCGTCGACCTGGGTGGCTTGCACTGCTGACAGGCAAATAGTTATAGCCGACATAACATCTCAGATAAAATTCGACCATTTTATTTCTCATCTATGCTTTTATTATTTTTGTTTCATTCTTCTATACTTCTACAATAACTTGAACTTGAACTTGATTTTATTTTATAAACAAAGGTGACTTTACAAAGAAAGAGCTGTTGTAGGAAAGCAGAAAAAGTAAAACATAGACTACTTATACACACTGCCACCTGGAGTAACAACACTACAAGGGAGAGAGAATACACGCTTATATCTATAGATTCACTCTTACAAAATAGAGTACAGAAATAAACAGAAACAGAAACAAAAAACAAATCCCCAGAAAACGCCTCAAATTTCCAAATGATATTTCAGCGTCGGTTTGAACTGACCTAGAGTACGTGCTGCAACGACCGTTTCTGGTAAAGCGTTCCAATCTTCGGCAGTCTAATCGAAAAAAGCTGACCCTCCCCGTTTTTTTGTAAGACTCGGTGTCACGACTGGCTTCGTGTTTGCCCTTACGTGTTCTTAAACCGTACTTGCGTTCAGACGCTCTGTTCTGCGATCCGTCAGTGGTGTTATAAAGGCGGATTAAGAACTGAAAGCAGGGATAACTTGTCCGTCACTTTATAGAAATGAATCAAACGAAAATATTTTTTTCTCAACAACAAATCGAGGAGCTTTAGTTTTTGAATTAACTCTGACACCGATCCGTAGAATTTTTTCAAAATCATTCTTGCGGCTAATTTCAAAATTTTGTCAAGAGTTTTGGTATAACAATCGCTATCATAGACGAGACAACAGTATCCGAGTTTGCTAAGAATACAAGCTCGAAAAATAAATAACTGGGTGCTAACTGGAGCTTCCCAGAAAGTACGAAACATTGCTCTAAGCCGCCTTCTGCATCCGAGAACTAACTGGTCAACATGCTCTCTCCACGTGAGATCGTCACTTAATCGCACGCTAAGTGAAACCACTGATTTTTCTCGGCTCATAACTGTCCCTTTTACCTTCAAAGAAATGTTATCAGCAGCAGATGCACTACGATTTGTGACTATGATCAGCGCCACGATTGCTTACTAGAGACTTTGAGTGTTCATTGAAAATTCTTTAAAGATTTTTATTGACAAAGCGAGTTTTATTTCAATCGATAGTAATACTTTTTAAATGGAAAGTTTCTATTATTCCTCAATAATATACGTTCTCCATAACATATATTTAGCGAGAATGAATGACGAGTAAGATCTGTAATCGTTTTCCATCTTCAATATATCGCAACAAAAATCTCCGAACTGGTATTTATTCTGCAAAGATATGTAGTTTCTAGTAATCACTTGTTACGCTAACAGATTTTACCGGTGGGTCACACTAGCGCAAATGAGCTTTCACATCAAACTGGTAAGCGCTGAAACTGTCGATAATCCGGACAATATAAGCTTAGTCCCAATGCTTTATTAACCGCCCCTATGGTTAATCATACATTTGTCTATTTTAAAACATGCAAGTAAAAATGGTTTATGTACAAAAATCGAAGAAAATGCAGAACACAATTATCTACAACAGTTCTTTTGTTTTTTGTAGTGTGCATCATCAATGTATTTGCGGTGTTGATGCTAATAAACCAATTGCAGCGCTAGAACTCGTCGTTTGGCTCTAAAAAAGAACAAACAAAAAGAGAGAAAATACAAAAAATAAGAGAGATACAACTAATGCGTGCAATTCGCAGAATAATACAAGAGAGCCTTCACATTAAACGGAAAGCTAAATCACACAGCACATACACACAGAGAAAAAGGAGAAATAACAACAATGAAAAAAGAATAATACGAAGAAGGAGCTCAAAACACCAAAAGAAAGGAGAGAGAAATTTTGGTCTAAAAATGTTTTGTATTTTTGATGTATCTAGCCACAAATAAATGAAGTTGTGGAATTTGTGAATAGTCTAGGGTATCAAATTGCTCTAATATACGTAAAGAACAGACTAGCTTTAAAAGTACAGTTTTTTTTTCCACTGGATTCTACCACCGAGAAAATTCATTTTTTCTGAACCTGGAATGAAAAAGTCGGAATTCTGCCTGTACTTCTCCATTTTCTGCATCATGGCTCCTATTTTATGCAATGAAAATATCATATTCGGAATTAGCGTTTAAAACTGAGTCGAATGATGTGTATTTCGACATGTTTCGTTGGTTTTCATTTTTCGGTGAAAATCTGAGTAAGTTTTTGACATGAAAATTCGAGAAAAATTAAAGTAATCGGATAGGGTACATAAAGTACATCATTTGACTCAGCTTTCAACGCTGATTCTGAATATGATATTTTCATTGCATAAAATAGGAGTCTTGATGCAGAAAATGGAGAAGTACGGGCAGATTACCGACTTTTTCATTCCTGATTCAGAAAAAATGATTTTCGCGGTGGCCAAATAAAATGGGAAAAAAGCGATCTGTACTATTAAAGCTCGTTTAATGGCGGTTCTAATGAAGTAAAAAGATCAGCTTCATCTTCACAAACTAGTCAACGGTGACTAGATCAGTCGAGGATGAAGTCCCGATTTGGGTGATGTTTTAGAGACGTACTGTTTGACTAATTAGTATAACGAAAATGCTTTATTCTGATGTAATTTCCTTTGCCGGTCACGAATCTGACATCAGATTTCCAAAGGTATGAAAAATCAGTGAAATATGAGCGAGTTTTGGTAATCGGTTAGCTATGTCTACCAGATTGAAAAAAATGTTGGTAGAAAAATGTGGTCTTGGGACTGATTTTTTTTTTCGAATGATATGATCGGTCGATAGTCCATACTCAGGAGATAACTCAAGCAAATTTAGGCAAATGTATTTTTTCTCATTTTGGAGAAAATCTTCACTTAATGTAAATGGTCGTCCGCCCATAACGGCCGCACTCATAAAAGGGACGAATTTTTCTCTATTAAAAGCTGATATATTGTATCACTACATGGTTTTTGTTTATGTAGAAATGTTTTCTGATTTTATTGAAACCAACCCTAACCCTACAAACCTTTTAGTTATTTAGAAAAAATGGTTTTACTGAAGAGATTGGATAGTTGATGATCCATCATTGGATAAATGGCTCGTAACTTTTTTCTAAGTGCTTCTGAATATTTCTGACATCATATTCGAGTTCGCCAAAATCAGTTCTATCTGACCATATCTTCAGAATATGAAAACGTAGGGTGGCAGATTCAGCTACGTATCCGGCGATGTCCTTTGCCAGTTCTTGTTTTTGCGACTAGTGTCACATCTGAAGCAAGCGTTCAAGAGCATCTTTATCCATCCACTATTCTGAACATACGTGTGCTGAAAGAAAACGGTGAAAGATTTAGTCCGCCTATATGGGTTCTGAAAGATTTTCCATAGATATGAATTAAAACTTTCTAGGTTTGAATATGAGAGTGAGGGCAGGGTTCCCGATGAGGGAGTGCTGGCCCTTCCTAAAAAACTTTTTGGGCTTTCTGCTAAAATTTTTGATGTTTTTCCACCAACAACTTTCTGCCAGAAAATTCGAAAACTTTTTTTCGTCAGCCAGTTTCTGCGAAGCAAAGTTTTTAGCCCCTCCCATCCCTAAGAACAATCGAAAACTCTAAATGAGGGTGGCAAATATGCGTAAAATCGTAGCTTTTCATGTC